TAATGTCCTTATCTCACTATAGTATCCCTATATCACAATATGTTCAAATATTCTCACAAAATCAATGTGAGTATATGTAGGTAATAACATAAAAACACTATTTTTCTTCTAAGGATAAATCCTTTTGAAATAATGCTAATATATTACCCATGTTCAAATATTCATGCATGAGCACTCTCCAAACGAAAACACAAATACAAATATAGACACAAATAAAATAAACAATATGCAATAAAATAAAATGGTATAAAATATAAATAAACTACAATCAAATAATAAATAGGAGAGCGTCATAACAAGAAACATCTAAACATGGCCCGAACTCTAACCACCAGAAAGTGTCGCGCTGGATAATAATATAAAGAGATTTTTATTATATATAGTAACGTTAAAGTCATTATCAAATATTCCAAATAAAGCGCTAAGATAAGCAGTTTAAATCAAAGTCTCTATCCAGAATCTATCAAAGGCTAAACGATACTATTACCTTACCATGATATGACCTAATGGTAATATCAAATTTAATAATAATAATAATAATAGTAATAATAATAATAATAACAATAGCATTTTATAAACCTTACCCAAATATTACCAATATTATAATAATAATATTATTGTTAAAAGCTTTAGCCTGAGTACAAATGCAAAGAGTTAAAATAAATAAATATCTTAATACCGAGATGATACACTGAGTTTCATAAACAATAAAATACATTTCAGTTAAATAAAAAGTTATACAAAGTTATACAAAAGGAAACAACAAAATCAAGGCCAGTATAACTCAAAATAAAGACAATACAAAATAGTAATATTTAAGGTAAATGTACTTCAGTGCATATGATAAACGCGACAACATAAAGATTTAAACTCAGTGTATGCGCGATCCCAAGATATTAAACCAAAACAATGAAATAGTGATACAATAAAAATCATTACCAAAAATCACTCGCTATTTACACATATTAAAATGATTAGGACCCAAGAAACTAGCAATGATAAACGTCATAGACCAAAATGCGAATTAAATACTATTGTTCAAAATTATTAGCAAAAATGTATTAAATAAACCCAAAACGAGGAGTTGTTTATCATTACTAGCAAATATTACAATTTAAAAAAGTGTACATACCTAATAATTATAGCAGAAAATCGGTAACAATCACAAAAACTATAACTATATTATAATATATTTCACAAACGGTTTAACAGGAGTATCTCGAAGGGCGAGCAAAAACCCTCTGTGTGTATTCTATTTCCTAAACTAGCTTTTAAACATCTCGGCCACTTAAGCAAGAATGTGTAATATAAACATATCATCCCAATATTTCTACGTTCAGAGACAAAGAAGTGAAATTAAAAACTCAATAGTTTTTTTAAAACATAAAATAAGTTAAAACTATAATATTATTTTTAGTGGATTATTTAAATTTTCCTTGGTTAAAATAGCGCCAAATTTGAATTTAAAAGTTTATATACTACAGGACCCTTACTACTACCCACTGTGCATAAACGCAGAGTAATAATTATCGTGCAACAAAAATGTGTTTTTCCAATTTATAAACTAGAATTAAAGAAAAACCCAAGAAGAAAAAATAATAACAAAGATAAAAAAAAATAAAAAAACTAAACAAAGAAATACATAAAAATATTTCTCATGAACCTGGCGATACCGAAGATTGCTTGTGGACTTGACGGTTTGGACTGGAGAATAATTAGAAGTATGGTGGAAGTTATCTTCAGATTTAGTGGCATACACATTCTTGTCTGTTGCCACAACCCTAAAAGAACAACTGGAAGGAAGACCGTAGACTGTTACTTCTATAGGACGTCACAATGCAAGTTTGGATCTCTATGCAAATATCGCCATGGAGCTGAGGACCATTTTCGGGACGAAAATGTTTTAAGACGGGGGCAATGTAGCGAGGACGGCTCTGGATCTCGGAATGATGACTCATCGCCGATGAGTCATCGCCGGTGACTCAGCGCTCGAACAATCGAGAGTGTGGAGCTCGCTGGAATGTTCCAGAAGACTTGGGCGCTTAATATATAAGAAACGGAGCAGCACAGAGCAGTGAGTTAAGATTTGGTACTCGCGGCGAAATAAATAAATATAAGTGCAAATAAATAGACTCTTGAACAATAGTGATACATAAATAATTAGTAGTTAAGTGTTTAGTTAGTTTTATAGTGTTTTAAGTGTAGTTAAGTTATTAAATAAATAGTTTAGTTCGTTAATAAACCAGTGCGTGTTTTTATTCACACTACGAACAGTTAAAACGTTACAATATATATACATATATATATATATTGGTTCCGTAAAAAACACCCCTTTATAAATTTATTAGAACACAAATATATTTTATTTTTTCTAATTTTAAAATAGAATTAAGTTATAAAATTTTATTTTAGGGCAAACAAAATTAAAAATTTAGGTAAAAACTTTGTCAAGCAAACAAAAGAGATATACGCTGAGCTTGAGGAAGAGTACATGTGGCCAACATATTAGCCGGGAAAATTCCACCAGAGGTAAACGAAGAGGGTTTTTAAAAAGAAGAAATGAGGCAAACGTGTTTTGAACTTGTTACTGTACAGATCGTTTTCCTTGTTAAAATTGTAAAATCAAATTATTGTTCTAAAATCATTGTTAAAAGTGTTGTTAGTTCTAAATATTTAATCTATCTAAATGTGTAGTAAAATTAACTAAACGTAATATTGTGCATTTTTAAATTGTTAATATTATTATTATATGATTATTGCTATTATGAGTATATTTATCCATTATTATTACGTTTAACTGTATTTTACGTTATTTTAACCCTTTTCTTTTAGCTGTTACCACCCCTATTTTCGCTTGTACTGTTATCACTATAATTTTAATAATTTGCTATGCTCAATGCTTGTACTGCTTAAATGTAACATTGTAATTTGTTTTGTGCTTAACCCAACATTTTGTACCTTTTCTATAACGTGGTTAAGCATTGTTTTATGGCCAATCTAAATTTATTGATGTATTGCGAAATTACTCGGTGCTTAAACAGGAGTGCTGACGGTTATTGTTCAACTTTAAGTACTCTTTGTTTGTGTGCGTGGGCCTTTGTTTTATGAACTAATATTTTCTCCCGTGAGAGGAACAGGTTGACCTAGGTTCTCTAGGGCTGCATCGCTTTTCCCCGACCTCTCAACTAAACTTGGCGGGTTGCCTCCCTTTGTGGATCTCGTTACATTCTGGGCATAGCCCGGCTAACTAACACCAATATTCTTCAGTTTTAAATCTTTGTTAAATGCAGTATCGAGCCATATCGCCAATACATTAATTTGCGTAATTTTTAAACTACAATGCCTGACCGCGTATTCCTTTGCTACTTTATAGCCGAGCAGGGTTTTTTCTCAGGCTCTTTTTCCCTGGCCGAACCCTCCTAAGAGCCACCCCTTGCTTGTTTGTAAAAAGTAACGTAAATTAAATTGGGGTAATAAAACAAGTAAATAAACACAGCGTAGAGGTCCAAATTTGGGTAAGACGATCACGAGCCAAAGCCACAAAATATTTAATTTTTTATAAAACTTGTTTTAAACGAACCTGGGGTAAAGAGAACATTTTACAAGATATATATATATATATTAGGGTGCTTCTTATAGGTTTTAGGATTTTTTTCAGAATTTTAAATAAATATTTAGGGGTCGCTACCGACGTTTAAAATTTATAAAAATATTAAGAATTTTGGAAACGATATGAATGTTAAGATTAAGTTTATATTAATAAAAAAAACCATTAAATGTTTTTAAAACGGTTTATTCACTTTATAAAATGTAAGTATTTAAAACTAGGCTAATAATGTAGATTTTTTGGTATTTGCATACTTTTGACGATGTTGTTTCACTAATAAAAGTAAATATTGTTTTTGATCTTTATCCTTTGTATGTAATTTATTGTACTCTTCAATTAAAGCCACCCCTCGTTCTGCAATATCATTAACAACCTTCATGGACTGCACAATAGCCTCGCATTCTACGTAGTTTTCATCGGTATCCCAAATGTCCACTTCCTTTTTTAGAAACTCTGGTGAAATACCAGTGATACAAAATCCTCTAGGTATTTTTCGTGCATGAGATTCATGTCAATTGTGATACGTTTAGGAGAGTAATCTAATGCCACATTTTTTAAAGCCGCTACCATTTTTCTCTTCGTTTCCGTAGATACTTTTTCATCAAAAAAGGAGAACGCCACAAGCTCCTCTGACAAGTACCACAGGTGATTTTAAAACTTATTTAGAGCCACGCTAGATAGTTTTTGGTTTGTGCTTTTAAATTTTTTTAGATCCTTTAGGAGCTGCAAATCATTTCTTGGGGCATAACATGCTGAAGGTGCTTGGAACCAATGCTTCAAATAAATCTTAATAGTAAAAACGCAAATTTCTCTTATCCCGGTTTCTTCTATCTTTGTCAATTTGAATTGTTTTCGAAACAGAAATATTTTTAGAGAATAGATGGCCTTTGCCATCCATCTTGCGCGATGAAGTCCGGCAGGAGCCCTGAAAGATGTTCCTATTTTGAGGCTGCCTCCCAAAAAGATGATGGATAAGTTAAGAAGCTCCTTATAGTCATCTCTAGGCTGGTATTTCTCAAGTTGTTGTTGAGAAAATATAATTAACTCGGCAGCAAGGTTTCCTATGTCGTTAAGAGCCAAAACATTGGAATAAACAGTGTCAAAATATTCTTTAATATTGGCCCAAGCGTTTTTAAACCTTTTGAATATCAAAATTTCTGTACCACTCGACGGTCCTATAGCCTTAATCACCACTCCTTCGAGCATGATCTCTAAAATATGATGGCGACAAGCTAACCAAAGCAAATCTTTTTCCATTTTTTATTCAAGAATAATGCAAGCTCCATTTCTTTGACCTGTATTTACTGCAGTTGTATCGAAGCACATGCATTTTATTTGGTTGCTTAGATTCCATGCGGTAACGCATCATAAACGGCTGAGGCTGATGCTTCACCTGTTCCTCGTGGCAGTTTAGGAACAGCAAATAATTGCTCGACGCCTTGACCCGATACTAATATTGGAAGACGATCCACCGTTTCATGTCCAGATATATCCTCTATCATTTTCCCATCCCAGTGAATAGTCAGGGGACCATCGGGCTTAAAGCCACTCTTTATTGATTTTGCAACCATCTGGCGTTGTTTGATGCATTGACGGCGAATAGTAGGACTGTTAACGTTGTACTCAGCTGGATCACATCCAACACTTTTTAATGTGTTTACGGTCACTCAACTTAGCAATATCCAGACTGGTAGCTAAATTTGTACCAATTAAGTTTTTTTTACCTCTTTTACGAGGAGGCATTCCAGCTGTTGACGACCCTGGTATGGCAAATTCCGCAGGCACTGTATCAGAATCATCAGATATAGATTATGAGTTCTCACTTGTTGATGAAGAAATAACATACTTTTCGGTTAAAGACTTAAGTTTGTCCTTTTCCCGATCATGAAAACGTTGTTGCTGTTCTTGTTTCTTTCTTTTTTCGGCATTCTTCTTAGCGTATTCCATATCTAAATGTCCAATATGACCAGGACGTCCTTTCTTGCGCTGTGCAATTAAAAATCGTTTGTCTTCCTCAATAGTAATCAAATTTAGGGTGTTGGAATGAGCAATATCAAAGAGTCCTTCTATTTTACTCTGCCAATCGTGTTCTCTTTTTTCAAGTGCTTTTGATCGCTTAACTTTATTTTCTTTGTTTTTTGCCAGTTTTTGCCACTCCTTGAAATACATTTCAATCTTACTAATAATATGTTTCTTTAATCTTGTTGGAATACTTGCTTTTTCCCATATAACCAAGACATCAGTAGCAGTTGAATTTGCAGACTCCCTTATTGTTTGGCTTAACTTAGTCTTGTAGTAAAAAAACACACTTAATACTTCTTTAATAGACGGCAACTTATTTTCTTTTAAATTATGTGATGTTTGACCAACTAACCAAATGTCTGTTTTGTTTCGAGTTAAAACACGTGTTGCACTTGACGAAGACGCCATTATAAAAAGTACTTAAAATATAGATACTCTAACGCGATGAGATCTGTGAATGTGCCTTCGCAGCTAACAGCTCACGTGGTCAAAGGCAAACAAGAGTATCATTTGGGTTAGTGGGATCAGGGAAGGGGTAAAGCGCGACAAACTTTAGGCAAAATGTTTAGTAGTGAATAATTTTTGTAGTTAAATACATTAATCCAGGAAATGCCCGAATCAATCTTTGACCCTAAAATTCCCGTTTTTATGAAACTTTAAAAAGCGGTAGCGACCTCTAAAATTTATGTGTGTATATATATATATATATACAGGGTGTCTCACCAGCGATGGTACCTTAGACGTTTACGGAGAACGGCTGAGGATATCAATTTGAAATTTTTAAAGCAATTATTGTACAATTTAATCTACCTTTTAAAATTATTTTAAATAAAATTCCTCTTCCGGTTTAACCGGAAGCGACATCAACTTTGTTATTTCTAATGGAACACCCTGTAATTTTTTTTATTTTTAAATTCTTCATGAAATTCTTAATGAAATTGCTGTACCATTCCCTATACCTAAACTTAATAGTTTTCGAGTTAATAATTTTTTTCGTAAAATTTTGACAGTTGCACCTTCATTAAAAATTGCTTATAACTTTTTTGATATTCGGTTTGCTGGTATGCTGTAAGGATTTTTGGAATCTTAAAACATTGTTTTAAAGATTCCATGTCTAAAATTTTCATATTTATGATCAAAAACCAGAGAAAAATCGTGGTAAATTTGGTTAACTTCAAACATTATTAACTTGTTTATTTTCAATGGAACGCTATGCATGTTTTTACATAATCAAATAGGAAAATGAATTACATTTCGATTGGTATAACCATTCCCTATACCTAAATAGTAAGGTTCCATTGGAAATATCAAAGTTGATGTCGCTTCCGGTTAAACCGGAAGAGGAATTTTATTCAAAATAATTTTAAAAGGTAGATTAAATTGTACAATAATTGCTATAAAAATTTCAAATTGATATCGTCAGCCGTTCTCCGTAAACGTCTAAGGTACCATAGCTGGTGAGACACCTTGTATATATATATATATATATATATTAGAGTGTCTCAAAAAAACCGACTATTTCTTTTTTTCCAAAGAACATTGAAAATTCGTCAGAGTATCTCTAGAAAATGACCCTGTGAAAATATGACCTCTTAATATTAATATTTAGAGGTGGCGTTTTGTAATTTTCTATTTCCCATTTAAATAACATGGGAAATTTTTATTTCCAATTTGGAATTTTGTAACGTGATAACGAGCTACTTTATAAGTATGACGAAATTAATCCTTATAGGAAATTTAATGCTCTACAAAAAAGGTCTGATTGACTTTTTGCGCAAGTCAAGCCGTTTTAAAGATATCGAGCCTCAAACTTCAGAATGTTTAAAATTATGCTTTTTTTTTCTTAAATACAAAAAAATCAATTTATATGTATTTAAGACCCAAAATTATTAACTTGAGAATAAATATATGCTTATATTTGATGGAATCCAGATCTAAAATTCTTAATAATTCGATAAATGATAATTTTTATTGATTTTTAGCAAAAAATATTCACTTACCTAAAAAAATTTAGTAGAAGTTTACTATAAATTTATTTACATTATGTATTAATAATATATTTACTGTTTATATAGTCATGTTCACTTTATATCAATTTTCTTCTGTTATCTCCTGATTTAAGCAAATAAGTAATTCAAATTTCGTTAAGGTTGTTCATACAATTATTTTTTGCGCCACCTACCTGTAAAAAGAGCATAATTTTAAACATTCTGAAGTTTGAGGCTCGATATCTTTGAAACGGCTTGACTTACGCAAAAAGTCAATTAGACCTTTTTTGTAGAGCATTAAATTTCCTATAAGGAGTAATTTCGTCATACTTATAAAGTAGCTCGTTATCACGTTACAAAATTCCAAATTTAAAAATAAAAATTTTCCATGTTATTTAAATGGGAAATAGAAAATTACAAAACGCCACCTCTAAATATCCAATAGCAAAACCCTCGCTGGGTTTGTAAAAGTTAGCTCGATTTATTTTTTTATGGCTGTTTGTATTTTCTAGCTTCTACCCCAATTTAGACTTATTAATCGATTTTTTTCGCATATATTCGATTTATATCGTCAAGATTTTTTGTAGAAATGTAGTTACTAAACAAATAAACCCATTTTGTGAACAACCTATATCCCAAAACCCAATTTTAATATTTAAAATTTCTTGAAGTAATTTATAAAATACGCACACAAAACTGAACTTTAATGAGTATGAGTATGGGAACGTATGGCAGGCCCCAAATATATTATCCTCCACTAATCTCCCGGGGTTATTTTAACCCCTTTCCGTTCTCCTGCGTATCCCGCCAAAACACAGCATTACCTGTGTTTGTTGGATCCGAAGTCTTTACGACGGCTGGTAGATCCACCCTAGGAGGTCGTGGATGACAGTGTCAAAGGTTAAGACCGCTCCACGGATTTTTGTCAGCCGGGTCGGGCCATACGTCCAATTTAGAAAGGGTTTTTGGAGGACATTGAACTGACCCAAAACTAAGTAAAATCCGGAATCCTCCTCAACCAGGGCTTTAGTAATAACCCCATTCATTTGGTATTCCTGAATGGGGGTGGGTGGATTAGTATGCTGCTTGCCTTTCCTTGATGGTGTGATTCCTGTTCGTCGCTGTCTGAGTCGGATTTCGGTTCCTGATAGCCGCTTTAGAATTGTTTGCCCCCCTGTGCGATATTGAGTCTTATCTTCAGAACCGAAGTGTTGCCGGCCGTACCCCGCCGTAATTAGTGCCCTCTGACTATGTGGAAATTCGTTTAACCTACTGAAATTGTCGACCCTCGAATTATTTTTTTCCCACTGTGCGTGATCCCCATTCACTTGGGGTTGGGTCCATCTTTGTGTCTCACTGTGCATTGCGGCTATTACGCTTAGAACGGTTTTTACTTAATTTATGACCCCTTACGTCTTAGTAATCTATAGATGTAAACTTAAATAAATAAATTTCTTTAGGATGGTTTCTTTTGCCTAATGTTTATCGTAACTTGAGTGATTAATGGCTTCTTATGTGCCCTTGTGTTTATAGTTTTTTTTACTGTTTCATTTGCATGAGAATCTTGGAAATTGTTTGCGACCAATTAATTTTACCTGAAGAATTATTGTTAGTTAAAGGTTGCGTATTTCGTATTAACTAGTATTAATATTATTGGGTGGTCATGGTCATGCAATTTGGTAGCTACTTATCTAGTTTATGCAGACTTGGACTTCGGGATATTTGCCAGGTAGGTGTGCTGAAATTGATCCTTATCGCATGCCGCCTGCACGTGTGGTAGCCCAGGAACTGATCGTCTCTCTTACACCTTTTAACCAGGTCAAACACTTGAGGACTTAGTCCAGGGGGAGGTACCACACACAATTTGCACTCTTTTGCACTTGGAACCAGTTATCACGTGTAGAATCGATATTGATTTTTACGGCGCACTTTTTGCACTTGTTGCACTTTTCGCACTTGTTTGTTTATTTATTTATTTATTTATTTATTACCGATTACCGGTATTTCCGCATACTTAGATTCGCTTTTGATACTTTACTACGTTTGTATCGTTTACGCTGCTTAGGAGAGGTCTCGTTAACTATCTTTGAGCGTCTTTGAGAGTCAAGACCCAACTGAACTTTAAGTTTACTTATTTGCTGGAAAACAATTTTTAAAAAAGATTTTCCAAAATATTCATCTTTTCATACTCAACATTTTTTGTAGAAATCTTTGGAATATCTGTAGGAATGTTTTAATTTTATTATTAAAAAACTTTTTTATATCAAAACATTGAGTAATCTGATTCATTGCTGGAGAATTCCATCCCTTTCACTTCTTCTCCTTTATTTTCTTGTTCTTCATTTTAATTTTTTGATTTATCACTGGAGAATCCCATCCCTTAATTTTATATATTTTTTATATTCATTTCATTTCAGGCGTTTTAAATGGTCCTGATATTCGGAAATTGCTAAAGTATATAGACTTTGACAGGGCCTTGGTTCACAATGAGATAGTTGCGTGGGCGTCGATAAGAGAAATCATCGTTGGACTTTTAGGCAAACATCGTTCTCCCAATTATGAAGGATCTGTGCGACGAATGTTGGATGTATTTTTTCAAAATTGGAGTCAATATGTCGCTAAAAATTTATTTCCCATTTGGACTACTTCAGTCGACAGTTATCGACACAATCATCAAACTGCGATGCCATTTGAGTCCAGATAAAGAGGAAAACGAGCTCCAGCCTAACCGAAACATTTTGGTGAAGTAAACATATTTTTGACTACGATCAGGAAGAAAATGAAAATAAAGAACAAGAAAATAAAGGAGAAGAAGTGGAAGGGATGAAATTCTCCAGTGTTGAATCAAAAAATTAAAATGAAGAGCTAGGAAATAAAGGAGAAGAAGTGGACGGGATGGAATTCTTCAGCAATGAATCAGATTACTCAATGTTTTGATATAATAAAATGAATACAAAATAAAAATCAAACTCTCTGTACATTTCTACAATTCTATTTTATCTATTCAATTTTTTCCTACAGATTTTTCGGCAAAATATTTGGTGTTAAGTGTGAAAATATGAATATTTTGGAATATCTTGTTTAAACATTATTTTCCATCAAATAAGCAAACTTAAAGTTCAGTTTTGTGTGCTTATTTTAAAAATTACTTCTTTTAGT